CCCCAAAACCCCAAAACCCCAAAACCCCTTGAAAAAGAGATTTGCATTATAGTCAGAATTTATAATTAGTAAAGAATAATAAAGATAATATAATGGCAGTATCGGTAGACCAAGCTCGTTGGGCTTAAATTCAAAAAGACATGAATATCCTCATCTAATCTTCAGACTACCCAGTTCAACAGAAGTATGATCCACACATTTATTGATATCTTTATGTTTCAATAGGAATGCAATTTCTATGCACATCCTTGGATTTATGTAGATGAATCCAAATTGCCTTATGGAGCTATAAAGTCATTGTAAGATTTCGCTATTATCTTATGAGCATTACAATAGAGGATGGTCCAGGAGGCCCATTAAAGAAGCACATTGCTTTAAGAGGAAAATGTACCTTATAATTTCTTCATTCTAATAATTGACGATATAATAGTGTTGATTTAATTAGAAACTGGTATAAAGATGATCGGATTCAAAATTGTATTAGCTTTGGGTCACCCTTTTGCAGTGCCATTAGCATTTCTAGATGAACCAGATAATCCAAATCTCTATGAATATTTAGATTATTTGCAGCCAGGAAATAAACTTGCCTTTGCTTACTTAGATGATTGGAAGGTGAGCTATAACAAAAAACCCCAAGAGTTCAACTTGCAGAATCTACTTATCAAAATTAATACACTTTTCACTCACGCTCCTCCTATTGATATGTAAAATTGAATTCCACAATTAATGAATATAGCTTTGAAGAGGAAAAGAATCAGCAGATAAACGCTCCACCTAGCCAGATGATTAATAAACCCAATAATCTAGCTAATCATTAGGCACCTATTAATCAGAACAACAACTTGAACATGAATAATAATAACCAAGTATCATTAAATATTTAAACTATTCTTAGCCAGTTGCTGATGAAGGAGATTTCGACAATTTAATGAATATGTTTGATAACAATCAAATGAGTCATCATGAAAGAAACACGTTAATCAGACTTAACACCTAAATTAAGCAAGAAAAAGAGAAGGAGAGACTAAAACCAGATGTGCTTTAGAAATTATAACCAAAGGTAGCCAAGAAATGTCTTCTAAATTGTTATAGGTTGAGCAAATGTTGAATGATCATGTGATTATTAGACAATCAGAGGCTGAGTCTTATTTATCAAAGCTCGAGAGTCTGAATTAAAAGAAAGAGTAGATTAATAAGTCACTAGTTGAGATCAAACTTAAAAATGATGAGATTAAATTCGCATGTTAAGAAATCACTAAGATTTCCGATGAAATCGATTAAAGTGCATTAAACTAAAATGTAGAAGCAGTTTCCCTAGTAAGATTACTTTCAATTCTAATACACTAAAGGAGTCAATTAAATCTAAGATAAAGCCAATGCTTCAAAAAATGGCATATCTTGATGCAAAGTAAAACGCCATCAATGACTGCTTAGCGATAATTAAGCAAAATGATGAGTAAACTGTCGCCGAGAATGTGAGAGTATTTAGAAAGTTAGCTAACAGATAGTTCAAAACTCTCTACAAAAGAAACAAATTGGCAGCCTTCATCAGTTTCAACCAGCATCAGAACAGATAATGAGAGTTACTTAATAAGTGATTGAACTACTAATATCGCATGCTAATATATTGATAATGAATGAGTTTATCTTCAATCTTAAGTTTATTAAAAATTAGTTGCACTTTAGATTTATGGGGTTTTGGGGTTTTGGGGTTTTGGGGTTTTGGGGTTTTGGGGTTTTGG